AGATTGAAAGTAAATTAAGATCGAAGTGAAAAGATCATCACAATTTCTTAAACATTTTCATGTCTTCACCAATTCAAATCATCATTTCACAAATCTTGAGACAATGAGAAAGACAGAGAAAACTGCTTAGAACTCATGAGGAAATCACAACAAAACTCGGAATTCATATATCAAATCAAAGTCATACAAACTATAACAAGTAAATAACTTATATCTAAATTTCTCCCCAAGAACACTCCTCAAAGTTCCTCTGAATCTCTTCCTTTCTTTACAACAATGTGCAATCCAAAGCATGACTTTACTTGATTTCTGAATGTGCAAAATAACTTTGAAGAAGAGGAAGAAGAAGAAGAGGAAGACGATGAGGAGCAAGATGATGAATGAAGATTTAATGGGTTTTATTTGTTTTCATTTGTTGTGGTTTGTTTAGTTTTGTTGTTGGTATGATTTGCACAATTTATGAGTTTTGATTGTGGAACTATTGAACTTGTTTGTGTGTGTATCTGTAAACTATAGATTTGTATTCCAGCATTGTTAGTTTCTTTAATTTACTATTTATGTTTCTAATTTTCCTTTTTTTGGGAAATCCTTTGATATATTATGTTTCATTTGATGCTTGGAATCTTGTAATTTTTAAATTAGTACCAGCAATGTGTCAGAGACAAGTTTCATATTCAGAACCCTCTACAACTTAGTTTTATTTTTATGTATTTACTATTTTCTTTGACCTACAATTTTTGTACTACATGCTTTACTTATTATTAAAAAATCTAAGTTCGGGGGAAAGAAAATTTTCTTTAAAATAAGTAAACTAAATTTTTATTGTCCTCAATTAACTATATTTTTTAAAAAATATATTATTAATTTAACATGACTTTGGGTATCAGAGTTTAACTTTAAAAAAAATTTATTTTTTTTGTAAATATTATAGTAAATTTAAGCAAAAATCTTTAATAATGAAGGTCAATTCTAGAGTTAAGATATTTAGTATAAAAGGATGAGACTGTGTTTTTTTTAATTTAAAGTAAAGGAAATTGTATTTTTGAAGTATTAAGAATTAAGAGTTTCATAGAAGAAGAAAAGAATGAGACTTTATGAAAAATTTTCAAAGCTGATATGAATTTATAAAGTGAAGGAAGGAAAGAAGTTTTAACTTCAAGAAGGGGATACTGAAGTTCAAAATTATTGAAGACTATCCAGATATAATAATTCTCACATGAAAAAGAAAAGAAAAGAAAGATTGAAAATGATCCTAAAGAAAAAAAAAGAGAAAAGAAAAGAAAAATAAAAGGAAAAAAAAGAAAAAAAATAGAAAAATATGTGACGAGAAATTTGAGGAGATGCCTAATAAAAAATTGGCTTCACTTGAATCAATTTAAGGAAAAAGGCTTTAATACATTTTCTAAACTTGTATCTGAGTATTAGTCTCCTCACTAATAAAGTTTTCATCAAATTATTTTTAATATGGACATTCT